TTCAGCATTTCCTGCTTTTTGTAGTTCCAAGAATGCAGTGATGTGCAAACACACTTCATCAGGGTAAGACTGCTGGATCAGCCCCTTGCTATGATTCACTGATTATTCAAATAATAACTATATGTCTCCAGCATGTGTTCTATGAAATATGTGTACATGATATGGGCGAATAGACCAGCCCTTTTTTTCAACATGCAAATCTTGACTTGAACAGTGCGTTGAAATACTTTAGATGATGAAACCTTTTTGAATTTCACAACCTAAAATGAGGCACCTGAGATTTTGTCATTATTTTAGGTAATGTGTTAAAATTATTAGAAGTTCTTAAATACCATTTTCAAGGGTGAATGATTTAGGTTAGAGGTTAAGTGCTATGGTAAGGCCCATTTTGGAAATGATATGTAGGCAGCCAGGTCAGCAAGGTGTTTTGGAAACGCTCAGCTTTATGAACAGTAAGATCCTGGGGATCAAGTGGGAGGACCAGTGGGCCTTCTGCGTTGCATAGACTCAGAATACTTGTTTAGGAGGGGGCAGATATGGGTCAACAATGACAAATGCCAGAAACATAAAAAGTTCAGATCTCTAAAGTAAGGATCTTTCTTCTAGCTTTCAGGAGATTAGTTTATAATTCTGTGTTTCTCCTGTCTTCTCAAAGATATTTGAATGATTCCTACAGAAGTGGAAAACAGAAAGGATCACGTTTCTTATACTGCTGCGGGTGTTTGCTATGTCATTAACACTTGGAGGAGAACCACCGTCTTGAAATCCTGTCCAGGCAGGTTTAAAAAAGGCAGAAAGAAGAAAGATATTCCATTTAATTAAACACTATATGGAATTCCTTCCATATTTTTCCTGCCCCTCTGTCTTGATTTGTAATTAATAATGGCAATATTTTTGAAAAAGTATTTGTATTTCACCTTTTTGGGGGTTGCATGCTGCACCGATTTGTGTGAGTGCACATTTTAAAGTTAATTTAAGTGCCAGATGTACCCTGATCACTTTCTACTGACAGCAGTAAACCTGGACTGGAATTAATGATTATGAAGTGAAAGAGAGCAGAAAAGGTTCTGGATAAAAGGGATCAATTTAGATGGAGAGCAAGAGGCTCCAGTGATTCTGAAAGGAGAGCATTATATAGTTAAAATGTTAAGTACCTGTTTGTGTTTTATTCACAAGTCATGGGCTCTGACATTACTCATTATTCTGCCCTTTCCAGTGTCATAAAAACCTTGGGTAACTTAAAATAGCTTGGCTTCTTTTCAAGTCACTAAATATATTCTGTACAGGGGGGCCATCACGTGGGGTCTGATCCTGAGCAATATGAGTTGTGGGTACTTAGTCCCCCTTGCGCGGTTCTCAGGATAGATGCAATACTGTATGGCTGTAGAAATGGCAGGACGATGTTCTCCCTCTGCTCTTGATGCTCATTAAAAGGGCCAGATCAACAGAAAAAGGAGCTGAAGTATCTATGCCTGACCTAGGTCGTTTAGTGCTGAATGAGGGAATTCAGCCAAGAGCTGTAATTTGAGCAGCCCTTTTCCCCACTCTACTGGGTAGAGGCCTCTACTAGCTTAACGTATTCAAAAACAACAACAAGTCCAGCTCAGCCCGTTTCATAAAATCATTGATAACAACTGGCAGAATTTAGACAGAAATCCTGAGTTAGTCCAAAAAACCAAAAACGCCTGCTGAACTATGTGAAGCCAGCACCTGGCAAGCGAGAGAGAATGGGACTGGAAAATAATTGAGCAAAAGTGATGGGACGGAGGAGATCAGGCAGAGGAAATAGCAAGAGAAAAGGCTGCTCTGTGCCTGTCTGTCCCCTCTCGAGCCCTTTGCCCGTGGCAGACCCCAAGAGGGCGAGCGGACGGGAGGGCACAAACTTCACCGCTGTGCCGGGAGGCGTTTCACGGTTGTTGCCTGGTCCCAGGAGACACCCCGAGCGGCTACAGCGGAGGAATGACCATGCTAACACCCCCCACCTCTTAGACTTGCAGAAAGTGCTGACAATTACCTTGAATGTGGGTTTTGTGCTTCTGTTACTGCCTTCCTGGTGCCTACTTTTCCTCATTCAAGTCTGTGGTTTTTCATTCTTTTTTTCTCTGCTTTCTTTCCTGATTGCGTCACGCGCAGAGCTGCTGTGAACATCCACCTCGGAAAGGCAGCAGGGGCAATGTCTCCCGCAGCCTGATGCTGGTGCAAGTGTGCCAGGTTTAGCCAGAGGCTGGTAAGATCGTGCTCTGCTCATCATTCCGTAGCAGGTGAAGCTGCAAATAAGATTTTTAACCATGGATTCCTTATTTTTTGCTTTTTTTTTTTTTTTGCTCTTCTCTTCATTGTTGCTTTGTGCGGACCTATGTACAGGCACTGCCTTCAGAAAAGCAGAATTGGATGCCAGCAATAAGCTGCTTCAGCTTATCTCAACTAACTTTTTTTTTTTTTTTGCCCTGAAAAAGACATAAATAACATCTTTAATATCCTCTATGAGATTGGCAGGCAGGGAGGTTTTCCTCACAGAAACTCTTAACAATTAAAGGAAACAAGCAGCCTTTTTTTGAATGAAATATTTATCTAATGCTTTAACTTCTAGTTTTCATAAAAGGTTAATGAGATTTTAATGGTAATAATTTGCCTTGGCACAAAGTTATGCCTTGGCCTGAACATGAAACTCTGGAGTAGTTCAGGGAGCCAGGTCAGTGTGAACATGCAGCTGTCCAAGCCAGTTCGTTTCCCGAGGTCAACACAGCGCCCTCATCTCTGGTCTCACCTCGGGGACCTCAGTTTTACAGTCCAGGTTGTTTTGGTGCTTGAGGAGGACACAGAAATGACTTAAAATACCCTTTCAGTCCCCTCCTCATACTTCTGCTCTCTGATCTTGGAAGCTGGGTGCAGAGTCTCATCATGCTGTTACTGAGGGCACCTGGAAGTCATTTGTCACCACCGTAGATCAAGCGAGCCTCTGTGCTGATGCTTTTCGCTGCAGTGTTCACTTGAGCATGTGCACATTCGCTCTCCTGTCTCCTTTTCCCATTACACAATCCATTTCCCCCCCCAACCTATATAGCAAACGCAAGAGACCCCAGATCACTATGGCAGATTACCAGCCCAGCCCCGCCGTCCCCCATCCTCTCCCAGGAAGGCAGCAGTGATTTATCTGCCCTTGTCAGCAAGCAGGTGGCCGCTGGACTCAAGGCTGAGCTCGCTTAGCCTGTGATAAATTGCGTATTTACCAGCCCTTCCATCTTCAAATGCTGTCCACATGCAGTCCAGTAAGCGGCACAAAACTCTAATAACAAACACATCCAGCCTTCAGCAGACATGGGAAGCAGGACCTATAATGTATGTTTTCCTGCTAGAAGTAGGTTGGAATTGAAGCCTGCACCCAGTCCCAGTACCTTTTATTCACATTCCTGGAACTATCTGGAGCACTTGCTTTATCCCCAGCCATCTGTGATGGGCTGAGCTGGGAGAGATAAGCTCAGTAATCAGAAAATTGAGGGAAGCATTTCTGGCTGTGATAATCTTATCAGCCAGCTAATATACATTAACATTTGTACAGCCTGATGATGCAGGTGGGCTTTTGCTTTTCCTCTCTTTCTGGATGGATTTTGACAGACAGTGAGAGGAGGCAGGGCTCTGGGGTTACAGAGAGAAATTTGGCAAGAACCTCTTCCTCTCTCTCCTGCTCCATCCCTGTGATCCTAGAAAGGGGAGGGAAAATAATCCGTGCAACCCTTTCCTGCCCCTTCCTATCTACAGTGCTGCCATGTGCTGTCTGCCTTTTCTGGTATACGTGGAAGGACAAAGAGGTATTATATCAAAATTTCCCTTCTGCACTTGCTATATGCTCTCTTCCTTGTAAAACTGGGAAATTTCTTGCTGCCTTTGCACAGAGTTTGCCAGTGCGGTGTGATTTTGTTCTACAAGTCTAAGCACTGCTGTTGAAGGGAATGGTAGATTAATGGGTTATTTCTCTGATGCTGAGCACTGAGCCCTGTGTGGTCGTACGTTTTGCATTTATAATTAAGGTTGAGTTGCTTATTGTTTTCCATCTGAGTGGAAAGTACAGTGTGCGTCCATAGACGTATTAGGAGAATTAGTAATCAGGTGATAAAAGACAGATGACAAAAGGAAAGCAGTATCTGAAGAATGAGTGAGAAGGAGGTTTAAGCTGGGAGAAGGTGCTTGAACAGACTACTTTAAGGGGTGTGTCTCTGCTTAGCATTCATAAAAATACGTTTTCTGAGAGAGAGGTTTAAAAATAAGTCGTATACATCATTTCTTCCTCTGCTGTGCATTGTCTCGTTAGATGGATTAGGGATACAGATACCCCCCAGCCAGGGAGCCTGAGCAGGGAAGAATCTGGGTAAGAAGTTTTCATGCCTTTAGAGTTTCTAAGTATTTTCTTGCGAGCTCCTTCTCGATCAAGGCTGGAGGCAGAACGTATTCTTAATTGTTCGTTTGTTCTACTAGACCTACCCGAGCAGCTTGAGCTAGAGGTGTATATTGGAAAGGGTTGGAAATATTCCCCAGTCTTTTGGATTCAATGTACATGTGTCAGAGTAGTCCTGGGCAAGGCAGCGTAATCCTCTGTGGCTCGTTTCCTTTGGGGAGGAATTGATGCTAAATGAGGTTGAAGTGCCAATACTGGATCTTGGGTACCAGGCAGCTCCTAGTTCTGTACAAATAATTCTTTGCCTCACTCTATCGATGGTGGAAGGGTTGGGGAAATATCAGAAAGAGAAACAGAAGCTCCACTTAGAAAAAATCAGCTTTCTGAGCCTCAGCTACGTAGGAGAAAATGCTGGAGGAGGCAAAAGGGAGTGCAAAGAGGGAAGTAGGATTAGCTGAGGATTTGGCACTCAACACGTGAAGAGCTGTGCCTACATGTCAGTGTCCCGTGAGGGATCTGACCTGGGCAGGATGATTCTCTCCTCCTTTGTCTCCTGTTTGCATGTCTCATTACTACCAGATGAACTGATGCCTCTCCTCTTCTACAGCTGGAGGTGGAGATGAAGGTCCTGAAGTCTCAGGAGTGCACAGCTGACCAAAGTGTCTTCGTCACTAAGGAGGAAGTTGACGCGCTCAGGTAGGCAGAGCAAGAAGGCAACAAAGATTCTTCTGTTTTCTGTGTAACTATTGAGAAGGGAAAGGCCCAAGCTGGTTTCACTCTCTACTGGTATTGCTGTTGCCATCTTATGATAGAGCACTTGTACAGATACAGGACCCCATCGTGCTGAACCCTCTGTGCCTGCATGGAAAAAGTGTATACGTATAGAGTGCCTGTATATATTTATATACATAGACTGCCTGATGGCTTACTATTCAGTGAACAGTATGGTAGCATCAATCAGAACACCTTTTCCTTGTATTTCTGAAGCAGTATGTTCTTTTCCCAAGCACCCTTTTTACTTTCCTACCAGCTTTTATGGATGTAAGAGATCCATGAAGCGTTAACAGAAAGCCTCAGCCCCTGATCTTTCCTGCCTTTAAACACCTTACAACCTTCTCTCTCTTTCAGGAATCTACTAGCTCTTTTTTTAAATCTGTTTGAGATCTCTTGCACTCGGGTAGTTTGTATCTCAGTGGCTTCTGCATCACTTTTTCTCCTATTGACTTCTTTCCCTGTGGAAACAGCATTGCTGTTTGTTTCTTGTTTTGACTCAGTCTGGACTGTAAACATAGGATCTGTTGGCATGTGTGTAAAGAGGTTTAGAATCCACCTTTTGTAATACTGATATGCATGTAGCGCTGGAGATAAAAGAGGGATGTTTCCCCTAGTGCATTGCTGGAGATGACAGAGGGGTAGCTGTTGTGATTCACTGAAAGAGGGGTTACAAAACAGCATTTCAGCATGAGCATTTACAAAAGCCACCATGAAGCTAGACAACCTTTCCATGTATTTATTAAAGCATTTACAGCTTCTATTCCAAAGAAGGTGACACGATAAATACTGAGCACAGAAAAGTTCATCTATTTTCGAAGTTTAATAAAGTTCCTTTTATTTAAGCTAAGCAAATCAGTTAGATCTTGACAGACTGAGTGTTTTATTCTCAGCTGAGGTAAGGCTTTGGCTGGAGTTTCTCTTCTTAATTCTTTTATATTTTCAGCTCTATCTCTATAAAGTGTTACTGCCTCTTAGGACTGAAAGCTAGCTTTTGCAGAAAGCAGAAATTACTGGCCTGAATGTTATGACTTTGCTCTTGTGCTTTGCCTCTGGAGCTTGTTTTACAGCTTTGAAAGCCCAGTTCCATAGCGGAATGGAAGGTGTTTGAAAATAACAGTTCAGCTAAGCTATTCCAATACATACAATGTATTGGAGCTGTAAACCTGATCTTAGGGACTTGCTTCTGGAGCATAGTTCCCTCAAGTTGGTGCAGTAGTTCTGAAGAGCCAAGGCACGCGCCTCCTCCTTTTGTTCTCTCAGATGTTTGAGTTCTGGTAGGGGACGGCATGCTGTGGCTTCCCTCTTTCAGGAGGATAACCCTTTCTCCATTTGCTTTGCTTGCTGAGGGTGTTTGGACCTGAGCTCATTCAGATTTTTCCTTTACCAAGGCACACTAAACCCTCTGAAACCTCATATTGGTGCTGCTGCTGAAGCATTCAGCACCTCCTGAGCAACATTAAACCCATCACTCCTGATTAACATTATGCCTCTCTATCAGTAAAAGCAGCATCCTGTTTGCTGTCTTCTGGGAACCGAAGGTTTTCAGAGTATTTCTTCAGTAACTCCTCAGTCTCTCCTTCCCTGGATTGGCATGGGCTGCAGCACCTTTTCATGTAGGAGACATTCGGACTCTATTTTCACCTCCAAGACTCATTATTCAGTGTTTATCTTCACTGAGCAGCATTTGCCATCTATTAACTTAGCTGCTTCAGGGGCAGTGTGTGTAAGGGGGAACAGCTGGATTGCCACATGGTCTAGGACTGCTTCATGTTGAAGGAGGAGATAGAGATGGCTGGTTTTCCCCTGAACTGCAATTTGTTTCCTGAGCCAGGGCAACGGGAACTCACAAGTGCCCGGTGGTTACGCTACTGGGGTGCTCTTCATGTGTAGGATTCTGCACAAAGCAAGCCCTAAAACTCTCTGTAATCTTTTTTTTTTCCTTTTCTTCCCCCCCCCCCTTTTTTTTTGAAAGGAATTTGACTACTAACCTCATCTCTCTCCTCCTTTCATGAAATTGTGTCAAAGTCTCCATACAAAGTATTACAGAAACAGAGGCCTATTCCCAGTAAAGCCTTTAATGATGTGGAGCGGTTTTCCGTTGATGAGCAATACATTGAAAGCTGTTTTAGCAAAGAGGCTAAGCTTCTAGAATTGTTTTACAGTGATATTTTGTCTTTGCCTCTCTTCCTCGTTTCAGTACTGCAGGCTCCTGAGGCTATGGGTGCACGGAAATTACAGACACAATATCTAATACCAGATTGGTTTTTCTGTCACTTCTTACTAAACCACTTTTTGTTGTTAGGATAGACCAGATGATTTAAATACCTGTCCCAAGCCCTGATGCTAGTCATTTAGCTGCAGAGCTGTTCTAAAAAGCATGTATTTCTTCCCTTTTAATCACCCTTTTGCTGCTTAGCTCTTTGGTTTCTAACAGTAAATGATTTCGTTCAAAGTATTCTCTTTCTGCTGTCTTGCTTGGTTAGTAACTGGCTAGTAAGCCAGTTCTTGCTCGTCTTTCCACAGTTAGCTACTGTTGCTGCTTCAAGTCTCTTATCAGTCTCTCAAACACTCCAGCCAGCAGCATACATGCTTCTCTGCATTGCAAAACTGACTTTGTATAAAGTGTTTTTCCGTATGTTTCCAGACTTAAGCAGTGTTAAGGGTGGGTTTGGGCCTAATTTTGAGTTTTCTGGCATATCCTGTGCATTGGTCAAGGAAACGGGCCAAGTTCTTTCTTTGCAGAAGACAGCTCATTTTCAGAGGAACACATGAGAAATCACCATCTTCCCCCATACTTCAGGGCTCGATTCACTGTGGTCCATGTCAGAGCGTTCCAGGTGGCCAGGCTGGCTGCGTCCGCTCCGGGCTGCATCCGCTCCGGGAATTGGGTAGCTTTGATTAAAGAGCAGAATGAATTTGGAGGAGAACAGGGATGAGTATGGCTAGGGATTAGGTTTGCGTTGCTCATTCTCCTGCTGTGTTGTTGCAAGCCTCAATAGGAACAGCTTACTCAATATTACCTGGCTCCTGCGGAGGAGCTAGGAACAAGAACTCTACTGCTCTTCCTTCTACAGAAAGCTGTCAGAAATCCTGGCAGAAAACAGAGAAGAGGAATACAAACTTCACAAATTGGAAAGTGGGGAAGGAAATCCCACATCTTAAGAAGGAATTATTTCCATTACAGCAGTTTATCGTGGTATTTGCAGTCCCATTAACCTACAGTACAGCATGTCTGCTCTTCTGGACTGAGCCCAGCCTCTCCAGTTAGCTGCTGTCATGAAGGAATGTGAAAAATGGAGCCAAACCAGCAGAAGCCAGGGAGAGGAGCCTGCAAAGCAGGAAAGGGCTGTGAGCCTCCAGGCATTTCCATATACACCCTGTTGTTAGAAGCTAACTTCTGAAAACAAAAGCAGGAGAGACACAAAGGGGAAGAAGAAATCCATATTAATCCTTCGAATCTGTATTCACCTCCTGTGAGCGAATGAGAGTTTTAAAACATATATCTTTTGTCTCATTTTTCTTTAGTATGGAAAGTAAATTTTCAGTGAGAAACTTGAAAGACTTTATCAGTTTTCCTCCTTCTCTTGAGAACAAAGTGCTCTCTCGTCAGACCTTTTATAACTTTAAATGTGAAACTCTCTCCCAGCATCATCATTTCTGAAGAGACAATAAAAGCCGGTGCTAATGCTGTCATTTCTCACACCTCTTGCTGCTCCCTCTGAAATCCTATTTGTTTATATTCTGCAGATCTTATAAAAAACAAAAAGCGGCCAAACCGTTGGGTTCACGTACTGTGGGGTATGGCAAAGCAGAGAGCATTTCGGCATTAACGCGTTTCAGAGGGATAGTGATAGCTGTGCAGAAACTGATGTTTCAGAAGCTATAAATAAAAGTAACATATTTAAAAAAACTTTAGTAAAGACTTGTGGCAACAGCTGAAGGACCTTTTCAGCTGGAACAAATCTGAACTACTTCTTTCTACTGTCAAACTGCAACCCCAGTAAATCCTAAATGTTTTCTGTGGATTTAGTGACTGGGTAGAGCTACAGTAATTCAAAAGAAATTCGTGTCCTTGCCAATGCCTATTAGTCACACTTGCTGGAATTCTCTCTGCTCCTAACACCATCTCAATGCCATCTGGATCCCTCAATAGCGTCTTCCCAACACAGGTGTGTTCTGCTCCATTCAGTAGTTTCCTGTTCAGCAGTAGGTTTTCCACATGGCCATGTCCTTGTTACAGATGTGGCCTCTGCGAGACAGGCCCTCATCGCTGATACCCACGGTATTCTACAGGCCGTCAGGTACACAGGAACATTAAAAACCAATAAAAAAAGATAAACGGGCAATGATGAGTTAACTCCACTGGAAAGAAGTAGACTGAAAGAGACTCCTGGAAGTGCCTGGATGCTGTTGAAAGCTGTACCCCTTCCCCTCTTCTTTCTTGTCTCTTCCTTCCTAAAATAGGAGCAGTGTGGCCATTCTCTTTAGCAACGCTCACCATATAAACCCTTCCCTGGTGGACTGGCTGCACGCGGTGTGGTATTTCCTGTTTGTCACAAATGTCATTTCTGGGTCCACTACTGAAGCTGCAGGGTTTTTATGTTGTTGTTCCCCTTCCAATTTGGGGCAGTGAAATATATAGTAGAGACGATATAAAACTCAATTTTGGGAAATGGGAAAATCCACCATTTGGAGCAAATACAAATTTATCTGTGTTTTTGTAGTAGACTTGATCTTATGAAAGCCTGCTGAGACGGCTTGAATTAACATTGTGCCTTTGGAGGCTTCTCTTCTGGGTTAAATTGTCTGCCTCTGATGCAGAAAAAGCCTTCTAGAAATTTGAAGAGACATCTTCCAGGGTTTATTTTCATGTTTTCAAACCTCTGTATATAGAATAAGTTGTATTAATTTCTGGAAAAATTACCAAATGATTTTCCCTGTATCACTAAAATTCAGCATGGCATCGGTATTTCAGAAAGTAGCTGACGTTTCTTCCTTCCTCGTGCCTCAAAGCTGCTGTTAGAACAAGCATCAGCGTTCATTCTGGGCAAAACATTACATTGGTAGGTGATTATACCATACCCAGATCTGTCTTTACTCTACTTTTTGTTGTTCTTGCGTTAATTTATCTTGGATTGTTCTTCCTGCTTGAAAGTAACTCTCATATGTAACAAGTTCAGGCATGTAAATTGGTGATAAAATAGGCATTGCATATCTTAGTGTCGATGTCCCTGGATAGCAAGAGTACGAGGCTGCGTCCTAACGCTGCCTTTATGCGTGCTGGAGCATCCAGCAGCAGGCAGAGGTACGGTTGGCCCTGTACCTGAACTTACTTGCTCAAAAAAATTGAAGTGCTAAGCAAGTAAATATGTTTCAGTATTTGACTACCGTATCTTAACCACCAGCTGCAAGTGCTTTGCTGTGTTTATATATAGCTAGGATTTCCCTTTGCTTCTCTCTCTTTGCCACTGGGAAGTGTTCCCCAGGGCTGTTAAGCAAAGGCAGAATACCACAAACAGTTTGCTAATGGTTCTTGGAGCTTTCCCACTGGAGATGCAGGACACTTAACAGTGTTAAAAATAGGTTAGGAGTGGGATAAGCAGTGAAAGCACTAGTGAGTCCTGAAAAACCTCTGTAGTGCTGCAGAGAGGTTGCAGTGATGTTCCCAGCTGTCGAGCCGGAAGAAGCAGCAGGCTGGTTGCTCCTGGAGCAGCGTTAAGGTGGTGTAGGAAGGGTGCTCCTATGCCTGGGTGGAGGGTCCCCGCACAGCGGCTCCTCTTCCTCTGAGCACGAATTGGGGCACAGGTGTAGGTGTGCTGCCCAACCTTCCCTAGGCCAACAGCCAGCAAGTGCCACCCTGTGTCCAGGGTGGGATACGAAGAAAGAGGAGGTGGCTGTGGGGTGGGCGAAGGGCCAGCGCAGGCGAGGGAGGCCGAGAGCTTCAAACCCTGCCTGCAGCCACTGTTGCGCTGTTATCGTGCACCTTCCTCCTTGGGGAGTTGGGTGACTCTTGGGCGCCGCTCGCGCCGGCGAGGCTGGAGCGTGACCCCGAGGGCCAGGTGCAGCGTCGGCGTTGGGGGCGCACGCCTGCCGGGGGCCCGAGGCGTTCCCAGCTTTGAAACGCCGCTCTGCCCTCGGGGAGCAACGAGGGGCAGGAACCAATCTTAAACTTGCAGATGGAAGACCATTAAACGTATAATCACTGAAACGTACCCTGGTTACAGCTTGATTATGTCTGAAATCTTTTTGAAGTGTTTCCTGGAGACGGTTTTTAGAGGGCAGTAAGAGGCCCAGGCTTCAGCCTCCGCGCGGAGAGGAAGTTCTGCAGGCAGCCGGCAGAAAGAGCACAGCTTATTGGGGAGGGCGGCGGGTGAGAAACGTGTTCTAAATTAAAATTCAACGTGTCAAGTGTGGCGAAAGCGCTCGTGAGAGTCGTGGGTGTCTGGTTCTGACCTTTTGGGAGCTGCCGTGCTGTTCTTCCTCGGAGGAAAATGTTGCTCTTCCCATGGCCTGCTCTGCAATCCATTTAGAAACACGCAGCTAGAAGCGTTAATTCCACTTTGAATTTCCATTTTTTCCGAGCTTTTCAGTCTTCTGCTTCTTCAGGACCCTGCATCCCCACTAGCTTTGTGTCTCTTCTGGAAGTCATTGATTATTTTTCTTAATGGTCTAGACAATGCTAAAAGCCACTTCTCTGCGTTTTAGAAGCTTCCAAGAATGAAAAAAGATGATACCTTATAATATCTGAAAATTACCAGCAGGGGTCAGGCTTACAAATAATTTAAGCAATTCAAGCTACATATTTATAAAGCAGACATTTCCATGCTGAGCGTGTTGAAGTTCAACCAGCTTCTGTGGAAAAGTTTGCAACTTTTTCCTCTTCTACGCCTAATTAATAGGAGAGGTAGCTTCATAGCTGCACCCGAATACTGCGTTGCATTATAATGTCTGGACTGGCAGATGGGCATGTTGTTTATTTCCATAGTACAAGGATTTTCAGCTTAATTTAGATCATTTACAAGTGAGTATTATCAAGTAAGGTAATCAATTTTTAAAAATATTCTAGAAGAAGATCCTGAGAAAATCAGATGCAGAGATCAGTGTAAATATGCATTAGTTGCACCATTAATCACAAGAAGTCAAAATGCGAAAGGTGAGGTTCCTGAAGCAACATTAAGGTTTTTGTGCTCTGTATTTAAATGCAAGCAAAAATGTTCTACTGCACGTTTTAAAATAATTTGCTATGCCTAACAAGTCTGCTACACTTCTCTGAAGGATTCAGCAATCATTTGGCTAAAGCTGATACGGTTGATATTGTATATTTGACTTTTCAAAGAGCTTTCAGCCAAAGGTCTTAAAGAAGCTTTCTCTGACGGGTTAAGGAAGGTTCTTTCTTGTATTAATAAGGATATAAAAACCACCAAGGATTGGCTGTCCCAGTGTACTGTTCGCAGTGATGGCTAGTAATAGGTGCCCGTAGAGAAGTATGCGAATAGGACAAGTCTACTGTGATGCTTTGCCAGGAAGGTCTCCCAGGCTCTAGAGTATCGTCTCACGGGCTTTCTGAGCCAGAGACGATATCTTTGTATTTCATAAAACGTGCTGTAGTTTTCTTCTATTGATTTATATTAGTTTATGTTACAGAAAGTTAAAATATAGAAAATCAAAGAATAAGCAGTCAGTCTTCACAGTATTGAGGGTTTTCCAGCAGGTCCCAGAATAGTTTTTGTTGGGAACTTGTTGTCCGACACAGAGAGAAGTTTGTGAGTAGCGAGGTGACAACATGTGAATTGATATGAAATTATTCAAGTTATCAAATTGAAAACTGTTAGGAGCTGCAGAAGAATCTTATGGTGCTGCATGATAAAATTGGAGATGAAATCCTATGTCGATAAATGCAAAGCCATGCACATAAGAAAAAATGCTTTTACCTATACCTGGACAATAGTGGGCTCTCAATGAGCTGTTATCACTCAAGAAAGAGATCTTTACGTTATTGTGAACAATTTTCTAAAGATAAGTTAAGTGCTCAGTAGTCAAAAAGACAAATAAAATACTAGGAATTGTTAGAAAAGAAATTGAGAAGAAAACAGAATGCCTCATTATACCACTGAATACATCTGAGTACTGTTTGCAGTTCTAGCTTTCCCCATAGCAAAAAATCTATATAAAACTCGAAGAAGTACAAAGAAGAGCAGTAAATATGAGCAGAAACATGGAAAAGCCTTGATGTGAGGAAAGACTAAATGGAGATTCTTCAGGAAATAATAGAGGAGGCCTGTAAAGTGGCAGTGGAGAAGAGGAGTATGGAACAATGATTCACAACTTTTCATAGCAGAACTAACAGGCACTCAGTGAAGTAATCACATGTGAAGTATAAAAGAAAATGAACTAATTTTTCATACAGCACATAATTAAATTGTGGAACTTTCTGCCAAGAAATGTTGTGAAGGCCAAAAGTATGAATCAGATCAAAGATAGATTTGACGCATTCATGGAGATTTTAGCTGTTGATGGTTATTAAACATGATGGTCCAGACTCAGTCTCTGGTTCAGGTAGTCTCTAAGTTGAATTTACTGTATATTGAAGTTGTATATTTTAGTTATATGTTCTTTTTTTCCTATGTTAATCATAATAATGTTGTGTCTGTTAATCATATGTTTTAATTTTCTCATTAATATAGCTTTGTGGTATTTACCGCAGGAAGAATCTGACAATGTTTGTGTTTTCATTTTTTACTCGATTATTTGTGATGGGACTGTGCAGGGGTATACTATTTATTGCCTTTTCTTTCCTCTCTAGGCTGAAAATTGAAGAGCTGGAAGCTGAACGCAGCAAGCTGGAAGGGGAGAACAGAGCTCTGGAAATGAAACTGGAGAAGCTAACTCTGCAGGTAGGAAACGTGACAGATGCTGGAGAACCTGATGCAATCCATTTGCCAGAGCTGTTCTATTAGATTTGCCAAAGGGAATCTCACAGCACACACATTCTTCTCAGTCTGGGCAAGGCTGGTTTAGGAAGCCTATGCAAGCTGTATCAACATACATTATCTTTGTTTGAACATGTTATGGAAGTGTTTTAGTGTCATATTCGATCACATGAGTACAGTTCTCTTCTTGTTCATCTTCAGAGCCTTAAAAATCTGTGTTAGAAAACTCCCCTGCTATAAATCATTAGTCTGAAACGTCATTCATGCCAAAGGGGTCATGTAGAGAGGGTTTATTAACCAGTAGTGGGGAAGAAAATTTGAGGTCTGTCTACAGTGAAAGCTCCATTGCTGTTATCAGTAATGGAGACAAGAGCCTCCAGTTTGGGGTCTCATTAGGTAGGAGTTTTCTAAGCCAGGAAGCATGAGTGCTGTCGAGAAGATGATGTGACAGAATCTCCAGACCACAGAAGGAGAGGGAGAAGGTGTGGAATCAGGAGGGTGAAAGGGTGTGTTGCTTTTGCTGTGTTACTTCAGGTACTTGATCACAATCCTTTGGCTGGGGTAGATGCTATCCTATGTGGCAGAAGGAGGTCTTCACATTTTCATTCTAGATAAGTCAGTGAATTTGCCCTGTCCCTGAAGGAGGGCAGGGGAGGCCTGCAGCAGTAGGGTGGACTGTCTGTTCAGGCTGCTTTCATTTTAGTAACATCTTCCCTGTGCAGACAGGGACATGAGAGTTGCTTCAAGCTTTTGTAACCTCTCCTGTTTGAGAGGTGCTAGAGTGAGGAGGAACCTGAGCCTGTTTGTTTAATCACAGCCGATCCTGCTCTGAGTGGTGTTATCTCTCCCTGCTGTTCTCTCTGATATGCTGAACAACCCAGCATTGTAGCATTTCATTCTCTTAATTTTTCTTTCTTTCTCTCTCTCTCTTTTTTTTTTTTTTCCATTTTTGTGTAAATTGCTTCATGGTAGAAAACTTGCAGGTTTGAAATTACCCAGATTTCAGACAGACCATTGATTTTATCTTGACACCTATTAGACGCAAATCAAATTTTTTTTTTTTATTACCAATTCCTAGAGACAGGGGAAGTGACAGCTTTGATAAAGCAGGGAGCTAAGAGCTGCTGAGCATCGCTGCTGAGCCACGTTTAGTGTGAAACCTGTCACCCGGCTCCCCTTTAATTGGGTTTCAGTCATCAGAAGGAGATGAAAGCTTTGGGCTGGTGTTTGGATGCTCAGGTCTCCAACATACACAACAGCAGTTTTCGTTTCAGAACAGGTTACAGCTCACTCAAATCACATTTAATCTGTCATCGTTGTCTCAGAATAGCTGCTGGCTTGCCAAGTGGTCCTGACCAGAGAAGTTGCCTATTTTCTTGGTGGTACCTAGACTTGGTTTTACTTCGTTTGCTGGTATTGCTGAAACTATAACGCAGCTCTTGAGATACCAAAGCACCAAGCTTTTCAGAGCCCACCTTCAATGAAAGATCTAAACTCTTCAGTGTAGTCTTGCTTAATGTCTGCCTTCAGGTCGTCATCTGTAGAGGAGATTAGCAGCAGCTGCCATTATGCTAGCTGAGCTTTCAGAGTATAAATGTTAAACAGTGACAAGCCGGGAAAAAGATGGGACCTTCATACTGTGGTAGAGCTACCAGTTCCCTGTGTAGGAAGGCTTGGTGGACACATTGAGAATTGTGCTGTTCACCCAAAAAAACCTTTTGATAGTTCATCACAGGATCCCCATGGCCTGTCTCATTGTGATAGTTCATTAATGGTGCTCACTCTTGCAATGTGGTATTGTGCACATCATGGCGTTGCAGAGGGAGTTAGGGGAGGACAGGAATGACTTGCAGACAGAGCGGAGAAAAAATTATATATGATGGATGAGATAACGTGTAGGGGCAGAAGAAGAAGAGAAGGAAAGCGGTCGTCTTGCTGAGCAGGTCTAGGAAAGAGAAATCTGCCAATCCCCATAAAGACTAGTTAGTGAACTGAATTAAGGTAATCATGCTCTTACATCTACTCTGCCAAAGTTGAGGATATGGCTTTAATTTTTTATTTAACAGGAGGTAGCTCTACCCTTCCTTAGCTTCTCACTTCACTCTGTGTCTAAGAGGATTGGCTGCCAAAAACATCTTCTCCAAAGCAGCAGTGAGTAAGGAGAAGAACACAGCAACAGGAATATGTAAGCTGAATGCCAAGATGTCAGTGTCAATCAGTGGTCAGAAATTCAGAACTCCTTAGAGGGTAAAACATGAGCCTTCCTAGTAAAACTTTATGAATTTTTTTTATTCACCTAGAGTATCAGATACTTTGACAGCCCAAGCTTAGAATGACTTTTTCATAAGCACACTGAAAATGATTTCTTACGGCTCAAACCCACTAATTTAAGGATGAGCTTAGAAATTCACCTCTTCCATCAGTGCTGAGAAAATATACTGAAAATATTATTATACACTCAGCTAAGGTCACGTTGGTAATTTGACTTGTTATATATTCCCATCCCTGAAAAGAATCATTGGGAAATGATGGGTTAAAATAAATTCTTTATCACAAAGGAAAAAAAAAAAAAAGTGAGGCAGACTTTACATGCAGAAATAACAACAAGATTTTACTGCATAGAAAGACTGGAGTGAAATTGCAAACATGGGAAAAGCATGGCATCAAATCAAATAAAGGTGCAAGAGAAATAGGGGGTGGCATCAGACAAGGTGGGAGGAAGATGTCTAACAAATCTTTATCTGCAGTTCCTTCTTTTTAAAATTAAACAACCTCTAGCTTTTTCTGGAATCGTATCTACTAAATGAAAGGTGCATAGGGATGTATTAAAGTTGTGAATTTGGAAGAGGAAGAGGCAGGATTTAGAAAGGCTTTGGCTGCTTTTATACCATATTGGACTGAAATCTGTTTAGTTCACAAAGCCATGTGCAGTGAACAAAATCTAAGAGGATACAGCTAATCTTTGTTAACCCAGAGTTCAAAACTGTCAAGGCTTGACTGTATTGATGCATGGAAAGGAGTCCTGCTTTAAAAATGCTTGCCTCCTGTCACACCCTTTTGCATCCAAGTACTGGCACACGGCTTTCGCCCATCTTTGCTTTGGCTGCCATTACCAATAGGCCGTTTTGTGAACTTCATGACCCCAGCTGACTGGCCAGAGGACAAGTGTGCACATTGAAAGGTACTTTTGCATTAGATAGGTATGTGATTTACACTCCCTGAGCTTGGTATTAGCAAGTAAAGAAATTGAGATATTGATGGCTATCTGCCGCAGTGTATATAACATTTGACATCTCTTTGTATTCTCTCCTTGTGTGGGGACAGCTTGAATTATGTCTGAAGACGCTTTCTACCACCACAGCCCCCCTCTTCCAACACCTCTTGGCTCCTGAAACCTGGCTGCAGGCTGCATTGATTTTCCTTCACTGGTATAAAGACTTTAGCATGGATATTACTCACTGGTCAGATCTTTACTGCTAATAAAACCCTCAGATTGCAAATACACACAAAATGGGGGGATTATAGAGAAATGACACTGCTGGCAGTTTCTCCCCTGCCCCGGTCACCCAGGATATTATCTTAAGAAAAACTTTGGAACTGTGGCTCAAGAGAGGAATTCAATTAATATGTGAAAAGAGCAGTTTTAACCAGGCAGTTTTATCTCCTCTCCCCCACCCTTTTGTCTTTCAGTGAAACCAAAAAGGCTGACACTCTGCAATCTGGGAAAGCAAAGCACTGTTACTCCGTGGCTTGCTGAGATTTTAGTAAAGGGTTTGGTTTGCTGGGTTATCTGAAATGATCTGGACTATCTTCCCAATTTGCTGGTGAAAAAGTGCAACTTGAGGCCTGGAACAAAAGAGACTGATCAAATCAGTGCTTTTCGGATAAAGTGGGAGGAAAGACTTGTGAAGAGGGTTCAATTAGCATTTCTTACTGCTAGGAGCCTTGTGTTTACAGGCAACCAAGCTGATGTGAAGTGTTCCTTATGCAAATACTACTCTCCTGCTTTTCCTGCCCTCCTCTGCTCTTGGTGTTGAAGGAGAAGAGATTCTTCAAGTTCAGCTGCTTCAAGGAAGATTGATTAAAGTCAGCTGCAGTTGGACTTAATTGGATCCATATGCTTGGAGAGGGAGCAGAACTAGTTAGAACTCCTCATAATTAGTTCACAGCTGGTTGGTGAGGAAAATAAAACTCCAGTTAGAGCTCAGAGAAGTGGATCTGTACAGATAAAGGCAGGGAGATGCTTTTCATACTCAGATGTGTTGAGGCTTGAAAATTGTCTAGTCTGGTAACCAAGCTAGCAGCCTAATTCCTTCGTATATCTGCATGTGAGTTTGTTTATGAGGCCAAATGGGAAGGAGTCTTTATTTTCTTACTTGTTTCTGAGTAAAAGGGATCACATGGGATTGCTGTCAGTCAAGGAAATGTGAACAGGGTCACAAAAGGTAGGAGAAGATCTCAGGGGCTAGGAGAGACCCTACAGGGGTAGTTGGGCTGTGTGGAAGGCTCATGATTTGGCACAAACTCTAAACTGGTCAACTTTGAGTGTGATGCCCCTAGTCACACTAATTACTAACTGGAGTTAGCCTTCCTGTCAGTGTATAATATAACAGCAAGAGTCATAAAAACGCAGTATTATTTATACACATTTAAATAATTGATTTTGCCTGTTACCTCAAAGAGCTCAGAAAGGAAAGTGCTGACTAGCTAGTTACGAGTAGGAGGGTCTATCTGAAAACCATCCAATATAGCGGGAGGGGGACATGGATCTTCACAGTGTTTTTTAATACAGAGGAGGAACAAAATGGGTGTACTTTTGTACGACACAAGGTAGTGTAATATTAGGATACTTGATCCACCCCGAGCACTACAGCAGTGTAACTATATTAGCCCGAGTTCCGTACTGGTTCCGTTACCTGGGCTGGCCGTTCAGCTGGGTGTTGTTACACCAAGTTCACCTTTAG